AAGGGACCCTTCAGGAAGGGATCCTGCTAGCTGACATTCCAGAAATTCCCTCTTGTTAGCTTAAGCAAAGATATCACCTATAGCGAAGATATTTATCTGACATGTATTATGTGAAACATGTGTGACATGGAAGGAAAACAGAGCGTTCTCCAAGCTCAAGTGTTTTTTGAGGAAAGGACTGTCATGCATAACTGATGGTATTTTTCTGCAGCTAGCTTGTCTGCCTTAGTTTGCTGTCCTTCCTGTTACACTGGGAATGAAATGTAAGGAGGCTGATAATGGGAACATGAAATCAAACAATATAAAACAATTTGGATCCTCAAAAGAATTATGTAGGAAATTTAATGCTTGGTTCCTTCTGGCATGACACGGCTTATTATTTATAAGGCTAAAAGCTGGTTCCAGGAAGAACTGGAGATGAATATGCTTTCAACAATCTAAGGATTATGCTCAGACTGTCTGAAACCCATAAAAAGTCAGAGATCCTGATGTGAGCAAGGCAGTCTGTTTTTCTAAGCCAAAGTGGGAGTTATCTGTGCTGGAGAGAACTCACAGAAAGAGAGGAGAAACATGCACACAGAATTTCTCACTTTGGTTTTTTTTTTTTAAGGGTAGCTAGATAAAATAATGTTTTTCTACTGATTGCCAGAGACATTAGGCTTATTTGTGTACCAAAAATTGTGAAGTCAAAAAATGATACAAAAAGCATCCTTTGTGTTATGTGGATTCAAATTTATGATTTATATTCACATTCAATACAATCAACAAATTGATGTTTCCCAGAGAAATGAGATTATGCTTACAGTATCCACAGATTGTAGAGGTTATCTTTGTTAATTGGAAATCAATAGGATTTTATGTGTGTACTTAACCTCCTGTGGCTTTACGATCTCAACAGGAAATTTAACAACCAACAAACAATTCATGGTTTGGTACTATGCTGATATGTGTTGCAAAAGATGGAAAGATCTGATCCATAAGATTCTTCAGGGCTTGCCTCATATAAAAAACTCTTGCATCAAGAAGGGTAGTGTTCAAAATATGATACTGCCTAATTAGATATATGCCAGGGTAAATAAATTACATACATAAAGAGGTATTGAGGCAAAATGTCTATTGGGTGGTAACAAAAGCAAGTAACACTACTTTAGCTCATCCTGTATCCATTAAAACTGTAGTGAGCAATATTCTTTAGAAGAGGTCATGTAGATAACTCCAACTGAAAGATTAATCTCCTCAATAAATCATTCTGAAGTTAATTATTTCCAACTGACTTAAAAGATCTATGCTGAAGCAGCAGTTTTTAATCCCATTTTAAGCGATTCATTTCTTTATACAGTCATTAAATGTATATATGATCGGTTTCTTAGGTCACCAAAATGTTAAGTAGTGAAGGTTTATGAGCTTAATAGAAGGTCTACAGGGAGTGAACACTTGCCAGTTTGCCCGGATCATTATATTGCCCAAAATCAAGCTTCAGCAAATATTTAACACAGTCATCAATTCAGGATCTGTTATATCAATTGCATTTTGGAGCATCCTGTATTTATTTGTTACTGCAGAACAAATCTGGAACAGGGTTAGCTTCAGATTTCAAAGTTTTGTTTTCCAGGAAACTTCAGGGTGAATATAAAAATTTTATCCTTGAAATGAGTAGTTGTGAATGATTATTCTGGACTTGTCTACTTTTCAGAATTTTTTATATCAGTCAACCTCTCTTAACAGGGGAATGTCTTATTGTTTTTAAGATTTCCAAGAAACAGAACATGCAATCAGCAGACTGAGACACCTTTTTACTTTATTACTGGATTATAAGGGTCAAAGTTGAGGTGGGGGAGGGTTAAAAACTGCTTTTTGGACAAGTCTAAATCTCACACTGTTTGAAAAAAAAGAATGAAAAAAAACCCTGAGGTGCATAAACCTTCTTGAAGAAGTGCAAATCTTGAAGAATGGTCTAGTTTTATATGCTTCCCTAGATACCTGCTAATGCATATTCTGAGACAGGACAGTAAATAGAATTTTGCTCTGACCCAGTTCAGCTTCCCGCTTCTGGACCTAAATTGCAGTAGTATGTATGTCTAGCATGATACAGCTAAACCTTGGAATTCACTACTGCTAGGTGTTGGAGATATAAAAGGTTCACAGGTATTTGAAAAGTAACTACATAAAGTCATGGACTAGAAATACACCAAGCATTATTAGATACAAAGACACTGCTTCTGGCTTGGAATCTGAGAACGGGAGTGGGAAATACCATTACAGGCTTGCTCCACATCTATGTACCTTTACATTCTTCCCTCACGTCTCCCTTTCTTCCCTAAACTTCCCTATTACTCACTTCCAGAAAGACAATACTGGACTAGATTAACCTTGTATTAGACTTGGCATACTTGTTTCTATCTAAAAGCCCCTCACTCCACTAACATTTCTCCCCATTTGCTTTTTCCCTGAACCACATATACAACTGAACATTTAAGTCCTTAATATTTCAGAAGGTAAAAGGGACAGTATGCCCTTCTCTGTCACAACACATTTGGATGTTTCTCCTCAACTCTTAGGTTTCAGCTATAAAAAAACTAGAGATTTGTAAAAGATGTGGATGGATGAAAAAATGAAAAGTATCAGTGGCTGCTTTCATATTTCACTAAGACAAATCCAAGCAAAAATTCTGGACATCTTTAACCAAGGGCTAGGCATGGTCATGTAAACTCTGTGGTCCCTCTTAGTCCCATGGCTCCTAATTAGGTCACTGCCAGACTTGCCTGCTTCTACCCCAGACTATGTTCAGCCTCTGTTGGGATCATACTTCACTTTGCTAAACCCTCAAGTACGGGTGGGTAAAAGTTGCTCTGGGGTACAGACCTCTGGCATGCATTATTCAGCAGCAATAAGGCCCAAGGGACTCTGCTGGAGGTGCCAGCCTCACTAATGCTATCAAAAGTGAAGGGGAAAACAATTAGGCTAACCCTAATCCCCCCACAAAAATCACTGAGTAGTGAAGTTACTGACAACTAAAGGACAGGAAACAGGACTGTGAAACTGAAAATATACCAGAAAGTCAAGCTCTTTGTCTACCTATACAACAGAAGTGTTCTGCTGTGATAAAGTCAGAGCAAGTTCTGATTTTCACTGCCCCACTAAAGAGTTGTATATTGTAATCGTTTACTAAAACATAATCATGTCAGTGTTCTTCCAGTTATGCACCCACATCTTATAATGAAAAAATAGATTATATCTTTGCTGTATTACATTGTTCTATAACTGAGAATTGGGTTGTGTTTCATTTCAAGCATTTTCAAAAGATGCAGATAATGACAGCTTTTACTAACAGCACTGAAGTAAATCTGAATTCTCTGGTGGGTTTTTAAGCCTCATCTCAGCATGTTTGAGGTAGGAACAAACATTAAAAGTACTCTAGTATTTTTTTCAATGCTTTCCTGCATAAATTCTATTAAAAACACATTCTTTTGTTTTTTCATGCAGAAAATATAGTGAAAATTTTAATATTAAAATGACTTATTGAGATGTCAAAGATTAAGTTAGAACTATCAACTACCTATATTTTTCTCATTTACTTGCAGTTGATCATAACAACCTTCAGAGGATATATGTGAAGTAAGTCATCCCTATTATTTTCATTCCTGGGTTCTGATACAATTTGGCAGAGATTTTTAGCTCAGTTGCAAAAAGTAGTGCTGGGCCATACAAATTCAGGTTGATACATGGTCACCAGCACTATAAGGCAGCAAATCAAAAGTTTTCTAATTTTCTTTAATGACTAAACAAAAACTGCATGCATTATAGAAATGAGAATTTAGTGTGGTATTTAAGTGTCAAAGAACAGGTCCAGTTCCTATATAGCTACTACTCAAAGATATTCTAGGAGGCATTTTTTGAGCTAGAGAAAAGGCAGATGAAACAGAAAAAACGAGAACTAAAATCTGAAAATATTGTCTCTAAAGGAAGACTATTTTTTTCTTCTGCATAAACACTTGAATAATTACTCCGCAGTTCTCCAAACTGGAAATTTGCAAAAAGCTGTTTAGCTTGGCTTTCAGTAGTATAAAGAGCAAAAGCTCTTCGGGGTTTCAATTACATCTTTGCAACAGCTGTAAAAAATATAAACATGCAGATTGTTTCAATATATGAAAACACCTTTATTTACTACTTCTTTGTCATACAGGGAATAAACTAACAGTGACAGCTAAAAAAAACCTCCAAAGTGGGAAAAAAATTGTGCTGTCGGGTGGCTGCAGCTTTGCTGTGTGAGCTGATTATTCATGTAAAGACATTTTATAAACATGTCACTTCAGACAATAATGGCAGCTAACCCTAAAAACACATTTGCATAGAGCAGTAGCTGCTATTGCTCTAACTTAGCAACAAAACCAGTGCATCCTCCACTACTTTAGTTGAACAAAGATACTTGCCTCTCATGTGCCACTCTTCTGACTTTCAGAATAATGCTATGAAAAAATTTCCCTCAGAAAATTTTCCACCTCCTTTCAGAAAATACAGCCAATGTCCCTAGCTGTCTCAGTTTTCTATTCCACAACAGTTTGCTGTATTTCAAAACCAAAATTAACCCATGGCTAGCTACTGAGGTCTCTGCCCAACTTTTGCTGCAGTCAGGTAGAGAATTTCCATTTAGTCTAGACCCAGTGAAGTGCCAATGTAAGTATAAGCAAAAAAAAGTTATCTAGAACTTCATATTCTCTAGTAAGACAATAGCAAGAATATGAAGAACTAGGTTTTGTCCACTGTCTCTCATATATGTAGTGATCAGCTCCTTGGAAAACAGCCTGGACTGGTTGTGGGTATGCCCGTAAACATATGGGCAGAGTACTGGGCA